AATGGTTGATAGATTTTTTTGTAAATTGTATTAGATTCTTTTTTTAAAATAATAAAACCATTGCAGTTCACCGTATTTTAAGTAAATAATAAAATTAATTATCAAACAAAAGAAACTCTTTATTATTATTATTATTATTATTATTATTATTATAAAAACACTTTATTCTTAGTTTACTTCATTTTCACATACATATATATTTATGGTACCATATATGCTGCTATTTTGCACTTTCTATTCAACGAATCCTAAAAAAAAAAAATTTCAAATTAAGCAGCACAACTGTTTTCAACATTAATAAAATTCTTGAGCACCAAATCGTGTGAGAATGATTTCTGAAAGATCATGTGACACTGAAGACTAATGACAGTCTAGACACTGAAAGAGTAATGACACTGAAATTTCAGCTTTTCCATCAAATAAATAAATTACATTTTTAAATACATTCAAATATCAAACTGTTATTTTTAATTTATAGTATTATTTCACAATATTTAAATTTTTTATGTATTTTTGACCAAATAATTGCAGCCTTGTTTATAGTATGAGACTTTTCTAATACAAAAATCTTACTGTACAGTAGTGTACATTACAGTTTAAATTCAAAAAAGGAATGTAATTACCGAAAACGTTCTTCTGAGTAATTAACCGTCAATATGCTCAATAAATTATCATTATTAATAATAAATGTATTGTTGCTGTTATTAACAAACAAAATAATTAATTAAATTATTTGTATTACAATTAATTTAATATTATCATTAATAACGTTTATTATTATAATTAAGACTATACTTTATTACTTTATTAATGCTTAATAACAACAATTATCAACACAAGTCAATAATTATCCCCTTTTGATGCACATAGCTGATTATTTAATTGATTATTTTCACGTTTTGGCCTGTAACTAATATGACAAATTGATTTTTTTGATAATATGATGCACAGTACCAACACAACAGCTTCAATCTACAATTTTAGATGCTTGAAATGAACTTAAATGTCAAATCATAAGTCTACAGTAGAACAGATGAATACCAATTTCTCTTTTGAGATGCCACAAAAATAATAATGACCTTTTAAAAACTGATAATATGTACATCCCTAGTGACAGTCAACCCCATTTCAAATAAGGTTCAACTTCTGTAACAAAACAATCAAGTTTTTCTACAAAACCCCCACATAGACCACAGGGCACCTTTGAAAAGGGGCGTCAGGGAGTGAAGCGCTGAGCGTAATGTAGCACAGTGATTTCCAGCACAGTTGCTAGGGTGAGCTATAAATACCTGGCAGCTGCTTTTCCTGACCGTGTCACTGAGTGCTATAGGTTTGATTCAGAGCGGTGAGCCAGATATCCTGACCCACATTGTTAGCTGCCTTAGCAGAGTGGCCTAGTTAGCTCCCGGGTGCGGAGGAGAGCGCTGCTGGGTGTGATGAGGCTTGAGAAGAACGCACGCTGACCTTTCCACATGTTGTCCTCCAGATTTATACACATAGATTAGTTTTTCTCACACACCTTGTACTCCAGTGTCTGTTTGAGCATGTCCTCCTCTTCTTTTGTGAAATGCAGAAGTACAGAAATGGCTCTGATGAGCTGGAAAGCCTGGAGAGAGAGAGAGAGAGAGACAGAGAGAGGTAACCTCTCATGGGAGAATTCATAGCAGCAGCACTTATGCTGCTATAGTCAAGAGTTAGCAGAGGACTCGAGTGTTTGAAAATCAGTGAGGCACACACCAATTGGATTGTACTGAAAGGTGAATTAGGGTCAATAATGTAAGAGAAAATCTTTTATAGGACACTGTTGCTTCAATAATCTGCATTATATACCAAATGCTATTGCAACAAAAGATGACTGGATGTGCGTAATATAGTTTTTTCCAATGTAATGCTTTTTTTCAGGATTCTTGAATCAATATAAAGTTCAAAGGAACAACGTTTATTTTAAATATAAGTTTATAAGTAATATAAGCATTCACCCAAAAAATGAAAACTTGCTGAAAATTTGTTTCTTCATTAGCACAGATTTGGAGAAATTTAGCATTACGTCACTTGCTCAGCAATGGATCCTCTGCAGTGAATGGGTGCCGTCAGAATGAGAGGACAAACAGCTGATAAAAACGTCACTGTAATCCACATTACTCCATTCCATCAATTAACATCTTGTAAAGTGAAAGCAGGGCTCTACAGTGTGCGACTATGAAAAAAATATTAAGGAGCACCAGTGCGACTGACGCGATCAGCATATTTGTGTTTACGCTCAGGGGAGCGTCAAAGGTTTCTACTTGTAACGTGTTTTTGCGGCGTTGAGTAGTGCATCACAGACTCTATTTCGTCAACGAAAATAGTTTCAAACAAAGTCACAGCTAAGCCGATGTGCATCTCCATTCAAGCACAGTGTTGTTTCATTTATGAATGAACGTGCGTTTTAAACAAATCTAGTGAGTTAATGATTCAGTGATAAAATCAGTGGCATGCTGCCACCTACTGCCAGTTTTAGTTTCATTTTTAAAGTATCATTTCGCAGTTATTTAAATCATTTAATGTTATTATATTCAAAATTTGATATTTAAAACAATCTCAACATGAATTTAATTGCACTCATGCCACCTCTGAGCCTTATTAAATGTCTGAAAATACACCTACAAGCCACTTTTGTGTTCTTCTGTGCCACCTCTGTAGTAAAAAAAATTTATACAGATTTCATTTTATTGGTAACTTATTCTACATGTTCTTATTCTATTGTTTTAATTAGAAATTTAAAAAAGCTTATTTATATATATATATATA